AATTCATAAGTTGTAAGTTGCGTGCTGTTCTGAGCACTGTGAAGAAGTCTCTGCCCTCCTGTGGCACCTCGCCCTGGATGTTGTCCACATGTCCCTGCTGAGCGCACTTCCTGCCTGTGTGTCCTTTAGGAGCTGTCTCAGTTACCAGCTCAACTGCTGCTGTGCTTGTGCTCAGGTAACTCTTGTTCTACTTAATAATGTCCCCAAGGAGTAGACAGGGAGAAATTAACAATAGCTAATAAAATAAAACAACTATAACAATATCCAGCATAATCTCTTTCTGTCTAACTTATACATTAAATTTAATCATAGCTATTTATGTATAGAAAAAAACCATAGTATATGCAGATTTGGTGCTATCCATGATCTCAGACATGGGGAGAATACTGTAATATCCTCAGACTGATTTAACAGGAACTTAGGACCTTAGCAAAAATAATAAGAGTCTATAAAGAGAAGCAATTCATAAAGAAGATTTTTTAAACATTAAAAATTGGATGACCCCTGTTCTATTTCTATCAGTGATGGGCTAGGTGATTCAGAGTAGCTCTCCTGCTAAGATGAGGTGGAAACGCTGCATGCAATGTATGTAAGAACCTGTATGAACGCATTGTAAGGCTAGCAAGGGAATGAGGGGTTGTAGGGACACTTTCCTTAGAAGCATTTACTGATTCAAAAAAGCACAGATGAGAGAGAAAATCTCAACAGAGCTATCAGCAGTTTCAGAGGCCTCAGGCGAAAAAGCAGGAATGTGAGGCTTTCCAGGAAGAAGATCTCTGTTAAGTGTTCTGAGCTACACCCCAGGAGTGCAGTGAGGGGGAAACACACCAGCCCCCGTAGAGGGGGCCTGATCTTCATATCAGGAGCTGGCAGCTCCAGCTGGAAATCTGGGCCCCACCTCTGGCACCTGCTTCTCCCTTCCTGCCCTCACCCTCCCCTTGGGCCTGAGCTCTCCGCTCCCCGCTCCACTGGGCCTCTTGCCCATCTCAGTAGCGCACATTTACTTAGGACCCACTTCATGACAGAAGTCATGTCGTTCCCTTCACCTGTTTAAAAGCCTTCAATGGGTTCCCAGGGTGCTGAGGGTAAAATCTGGAATCCCTAGAGAGACCTCCACGACCCTGCCTGGCCTGGACCTTACCTGCCTGGCCTGTGTATCCTGTGACCTCCTTGCACTCAGCACTCAGCCCCACTCCTGAACGTGCCCTGTGGCTCAGGCCTTCTCTGGCCTCTCCTCTTCCTGGCTGGTTCTTGGCTTCCTCAGCACTTCCCACCACACCACGGCCAGGTCACAAACTGCAGCCGTACTTGAACTTCGGTTGTTCTCTGTGTTTGGATGATCTCCATGAAATTCGGGGCCGTAGGCTGACGTCAGCTTCACTTTGGACTCCTGGGGGTGTCCAGTTCAATGCCTCTCCCCTTGGACAGGGAAGTACATGTCCCAAACCTCCCACCCCTGGATCTTCCCCCTCAGGCTCCTCCCACCCCAGCCCTGGGCAGCAGCTCTTTCCTCAGCAGGGAAGGTACTTGCACTCAGCCCATGACTGGCTACTGCCTTGTTTTAATTGGCTTCTTTTTTTGGTTATCAACAATGTTAATATTTTTGGTTTTATTAGCTCTTCATATTTATTTTTAAACTATTAGTTGCCAAGTTTTCTACTGGAATATTTATCTTAGATGAAGCATCTTTGGGATTCCTGAGAGCTCTCAATTGATGTGGTCAATTTCCAAAATAACAGAATGAACACATTAACTTACTGGATATGTTTCCCTAAATCATGTATCAGTTTAACAGATTGGATGTCAGGATATTCAAGCCAATGTTTCACATGAGAAAAGAATGCCTTTTTTCTGTTCTTTCTCAAGCTTCATAAATAACACACCCTCATTTTAACAGACGAAATGATGGGAAGGGATCTGAAGAAAGCAATGGTCCCCCCGACGGCCTCCCCTCCTCTCTCAGGGCGCCAGGGTCACTGGCCAGCATGAAGTCAGCCCACATTCCTCCCTCCCGCTCACACTTCTAGGAGACAAGACCGTTGCTTGATTATAGAAAACATGGGTCAACTGGCACCATGCGTCTCCTTGTTGCTTTTAGTAGTTATTTTACTACATATCCTATCATGTTGTATACCTTAAATATATACATTAAATTTTAAAAGACAGGAAATAAAATGAGGAGGAAGTCTCATGTCTAAAAATTAAATACATAGCAGGCGGCAGAGCATGGACCCACAGAGCTTTCCTTATTTTGAGAGGTCTGGGGGTCCTGAGAAGGGGATGCTGCTTTCCCATTTCCTTTGCATTGAGCTCCTTTGCAGTAAGTCTTTGTGGCAGGGGTCTTCTATGGGAAGCTCCAGATGGAGACAGGAGCTTGGCAAAGGCATGGCCTAAGTCCAGGAGCTGCCAGGGAGGCTGGCCAACAGCTCAGGGAGCAGACAGAGTGGCCAGACCAGGCTGAAGGGTCAGCAGTGTTGAAAGAGAATTTGTGGCTATTTAAGAAATCTAACACACCACCTCACACCATATAATAACACCTAAACGTGATGAGGAAAGATTAAAAACAAAAGAAAGTACAGGAGGGTGTTTTAATTATGTAAAGATAGAGAAAATGCCTAAAGCTGAGCACCAAACAAAGTCATTCACTACATTAAAATGGAATGTTTTGGTTAAATAAAATTGTAAGTGCCATTAAAATATAAGCCACGGATAAGGTAAAGAGATTATAATTCTATATACATGACAATATAGGATTAGTATCCATAATTTATAATAATCTCCTGCAAATTCACAATGATAAAGAACTCAATACTAATTACAGACCAAGATTTGAAGAGGTAACTCACACAACATAAAAGCTCCAAGACCGATAAACACATGGAGACGTGTTCAACGGCACTACTCATCAGGGAAATGCAAGTAAAATACCAGCATAATGCTTCTATTGGAAAATGGCCCAAAGCTTCGAGGTTTGTCAATGAAAAATAAGCATGGGAGAAGCAGGCTTGTGCTCTCCTGGTCGGCATTGACATAAAGGGTCTCTACCTATATTTGTAATAATTTGTTTCCTCAGAAAATCTGATATAAATCTGGCGAATATCAAAATTTGATAAAGCTAGATGGTAGGTACACAGGTGTTTGTTATATTTATCTTATACTTGTCTTCATATATGAAATAATTTACAATAAAAAAGTTTAAAACATTACAGAAAAAAAGCTAATGTCATGGGCAATCGTTGCTAAAAGAATAAAGAAATTAAGTAGCATGTGTAGAATGATTTCATTTTTGAAACAAGGACAATTATGTCATCTGCAAACCTAAATATCAGAGGGCAGGCACTGCATGGGAGTGGCCTATGAGTGGTGGGGTTCGGACACTTTCCATTTTTTTCTGTTTCTTTTTGTAGTTTTTATTTCCTTCTTTTTTCTTATTTCAAATTTTTAAAGTTCAACTTGTGTTGCACTTTTTTAAAATTTTTACTTTTTTTTCAGAATAAAATTGCATTCATTGTAAGTCTGCAGTGCACCAACCCTTTATTCCATCCTTGGAGTTTAAGAGAAAATGTGACCCTGGCCTCAGGAAGTTTAGTGTACAAAGAAAAACACAGGAAACAATTCTCATACAAAGGAAGCAGTTAAATTCTCACATTTAGGTTTGGGGAAGATATTCCAAATACAGGCAAAGCAAAGTACTTGTGTAGCTATATACTTCAAAGAACAGAATGTGGTCAGTTAGGAAACCAATTTGAGATTAGAAAGATTCCACTGAGATTATTGTAACAGGGTTTAATTAATTGAATTTTGTGGATTTCGGAATGAAACTTTTATCTCGTTTAAAGTCATATGAGAGCCTTTAACTAGAGGTTTTTATACCTTAACAAAGTAATATCCTGTAAGTGTTAAGGGTCAGCACCTACCAGTGTTCCCATTTGAAGCCCGTGCTGAGATAACAGAGTAAGAAGGGAAATTCGCCCTTGCACTCACACAATTCTGTGATGTTAATACTGAGTGTCAACTTGATCGAACTGAAGGACGCAAAGGGTTATTCCTGGGTGTATCTGTGAGGGTGTGGCCAAAGGAGATTATCACTTGAGTCAGTGGACGGGGAGAGACAGACCCACTCTCAGTCTGGGTAGGCATCATCTAATCAGCTGCCAGTGGGGCCAGAATAAAGCAGGCAGGAGAAGCTGGAAGAGCAGACGTGCTGAGTCTCCTGGCCTTTGTGTTTCTCCCAGCTGGACGCTTCCTGCCCTCAAACCTCAGACTCCAAGTTCTTCAGCTTTTGGACTCTTGGGCTTACACCACTCTTGCACCTTCGGCCACAGACTGAAGGCTACCCTATCGGCTTCCCTACCTTTGAGGTTTTGGTATTCATACTGGCTTGTCCACTCCTCAGCTTGCAGACAGCCTGTTGTGTGACTTCACCTTGTGACAGTGTGAGTCAATTCTCCTAATAAACTCCTGCATGTATACATCTGTCCTATTGGTTCTGCCCCTTCAGAGAAAACTGACTAATACAAATTCCCCACCTCAATATGTTTCTGACACTGGAGTGATGTGATCCTAGATTTAAGAGCTTCTCAATAATATGAAAGTCATATTTAAAACCTCTCTGTGGCCAGGCACATTGGCTCAGGCCTGTAATCCCGGCACTTTGGGAAGCTGAGGTGGGTGGATCACCTGAGATCAGGGGTTCCAAACCAGCCTGACCAACATGGTGAAACCCCATCTCTACTAAAAATACAAAAAATTAGCCGAGCGTAGTGGCATGCGCCTATAATTCCAGCTACTCGGGAGGCTGAGGCAGTAGAGTCACTTGAACCCAGGAGGCAGAGATTGCAGTGAGCCAAGATCGAGCCACTGCACTCTGGGCTGGGCAATAAGAGCGAAACTCCATCTCAAAAAAGCAAGCAAATAAAAACCTTTCTCTGTGAGAATCACTTCAACAAATAAGATATTCCATGACTTAATGTACAGGTAAAATAATCATGTGATGATTTGTTTATATTCCAGGAAAATGTTTATTTTGAAATATTCATATGCAAAGAAAGGAATAGGTTTAAGGAATCCTGACCTCAAACAATTTGAAAACTTGCTTGAAAGTGGGGGGCTCAGGAATGAGTGTGTCCTCCTCACACTCATGAGCGAGGAATGACACAGAGTTTGTAATGTGGTGGAATGCGGCCAAACCCAATCTTTATGGGGCTGAGGTCGATATCCTTTGGGTTCACAAGAGACTTCAAATTAAAATGCTGCAAAATGGCAGACAACAACAGAAACAACTCCATGCGAGCCAGGCCTTCTCCAGCACACACCCGTTTTCCTGGAAGTAACAATGGTACTGATGAGACACTGAGGGAGTTTCAGAGACGCGACACTGTTAGCAGAGAGGCTGGCGGAAGCGGGAGGGGAGGCTGCAGGCGAATGGCATCACAAGGCAGGGCCCACCCCCTCTGCCTATGAAAAGAAGCACAAAATGCACTCAAGTGGAAGAATACCAGTGACATTGACTTATTTAGAGACCAGCCTTCATACAACTTCAGTTATCCAGAGCTCAACTGCAAGAGCCTATGTTAAGTTGGGAAGACCGTCTCTGCCCAGTAAAGAAGGCACCCCCGGGGTTCACCAGTGATGCCTACGGGAGGGAAGTAGGGCCCTGTTCGAAGCTGGGGCTCCAGCATTGGGTGTTAAAAGTATAGAGTTGATTGTGTGATCTTCTCTCACAGCAATCCCTAAGATGAGGCCCTGGGAAGGACAAATGCCTCAAAGAGAGTCACTGAGTCACATCCCAGGAAGGCTTTGATGCTTCCTGTGATGACTCTAGGTAACCAAAGTTTAGATTTTGTTTAGCAGCTCTGATTTAAAATTAGGAAGAATTGGGTAACATGGTTTTGAGATCTTTTCACTAAGTCTTGTTAAAATAGAAACAGAATTTAGCAATGAATGGTGTAAAATGTCTAGTTTTTGGGAAAAAAGTCCACCCATGACACTTCATTCTCAGGATTGCTGCTGGGAGATGTTATGGACGTTCTCTGAATAGGGAAGAGCACACGTGGGTCTTGTTGTCAATAGACACAGGGCACAGGGGGTTCGGGTGTCAGTGCAGGCCTGGGATGAGGGCAGAGCACACGTGGAGTGGAGGCGAGGCGTGTGGGCTGCTCCTCAAGGGAATGTGCTGCCTCTGGTCTTTCTCACCTGCGGAAAATGGCTTGAAATAGTCACTGTACTTGAACTTCCCATTTTCACTCAGGAAGTGTTCTGGCTTAAACTTTTCTGGATCAGGAAATTCTTGGTTGTCATACAAAACGGAGTCCAGATTTGGAATTATGACTGTGCCCTAGAAGAAACAGACTGTCTCAGTGAGTCACGTTAACAAAATGTGGGCCTTCATCTGGAAGCCCCCAGTGAAGAATGCTGCTGTGAGCATGTGTGATACACGGTGGCGTGTTTCCAGTCGAGGGAGTTGCTCAGGGAAGGACTAGATAGAAAGCGGTCAGGGGTCAGGTCTAAATGAAGACGAAATCACAAGATTAACTCCAGGGCTGGTTGTGATTGTTTGTCCCTGGTATCAGAATTCATGAGTCCCAGGGACTGTCCCCTGAGGCACTTTTGCAGATTTCCTCCACCTGTCTGGTCACCAGACCAATGTGAGCACTGCTGCGAAAGCAGCACTCCACAGGAGGGGAGTGGGGGCCAGCTCCTCCATTCAGTGCCCCCTGCCAAGGCGAAGGGTCTTTGGGCCCCCATCCTGCTCCCTGGCAGGAAGGCAATGAGCGGATAGGATGGTGTTCATGCTGTGTGCTCCAGGTTCATGCTTGACCTTGGGGATGAGGTATCCTCTGAAAATGGTGTCTCGGGTTGCTTCATGGGGCAGGTTGGAGGGCACGAGGTTGATGAACCGCTGAATCTCATGCACCACAGCGTCCATGTAGGGCATCTCCAACCTGTCCTTGACGGCAGGGACTCGGCTTGGCCCAATCACCCTGTCAATTTCTTCATGGAGCTTCTCTGCCAAGATATGAATGGGACAAATTTAAGGAATTGGCTCCTGGCCAATTGGACATCCACCCATCTAGTCAATCACCCTTTTATCCATCTATCTGCCTACACACCACCCACCCACCCATCCATCCATTCATCCACCCACCCACCCATCCATCTAGCCATCCACTCTCCCATCCACCCACCCACCCATCCAACCATCCACCCATCCATCTGACCCCGGACCTGTCAGTGTCCTGCCGGTCACTTGCATACCTTCGATCTCAGGGTATTTCATGAGAATCAGGAGCCCGTATCTCAGAGTGGTGCTGGTGGTCTCTGTCCCCGCGAAGAACAGGTCGGCCACGGTCACGGTGATACCGTCCATTGTGTACAAGGGTTCTGCACTGGGCTTTTCCTGTGATGCCAGAGACAGACAAGAGGAGAAGGAGCTGCTTGTCTCCCTTCAGCACAGAACCAGCCACCTCCCAGGTCCACAGGGACAAAGAAGACAGTGTCCAAGAGGTCCCCCCAGTGGAACTGTGACTTGGAGCTGTGAGAGACAGGGTCATCTCCACCTCACAGCCAGGGAAACTGAGGCCTCAGGAAATCTGCTGAAGGCAGGATGGGGCTCTGTTTTCCTCAACAGCACACAGGCCATCCTGGAAGAGGTGAGATGCCTCTGACCTTGGTCACACCTCAGGCAGGAGCTCCGGCTAACCCCTCCTGCTGCAGGGCTAGTGTCTGCTGCTGTGAGAGGCCAAACTGCTGGAGGAGATGCCCAGGCAGCCCCCGGAAATCAGTGTGGATCCACATGTTCTTGAGCCACAAAAGGACAAGACAAGGGGACAAGAAGCTTCGCCATGCTGGGCAGGGGGCAGGGGATCCTGAGGGCTGCAGGTGAATGAAGCTGGGGGGGCCTGGAAGTCCTGAAGCTGTGCACAGATGGGGAGTACATGCCCACAAGGAATGCTGGGGGCTTCTCCTCAGACAAGATGCAATTCTCAAAGTCTGTGGACTAGAACGGGTTGGGCAGCAGGGCCTGGAGGGGGTTAAGGGGCCCACCCACGCTACCCGAACCACTAGGCCAGCTTGGCAGCCAGGCAGCTGACTTGTGCCAATGGTCATGATGAAGCCAAGAGTGTGTGTGTGAAACTGAGAGCATGCTGTGGCCGGAGGCATGCACGCCAGCAAGTGCAGGTCACACTGTAGATCCAAAACGCACGCTCCCTGCCCACCCCGGAGAGCCCGCCTCATAGGAGGGCTGAGCCTACCTTTTCCATTTCCACCAGCAGGCAGTCGGTGAGGTCCTGGGGGCAGCTGAGGTCCAGGGATTGATGGTGCTCCTTCACCCTTTCAGACACATACTCTTTTATTTCAGCCACATTTCTTATGACTTTTCTATGGCTTCCAGGCAAGTAGTGTAGATAGCTGGAAAAATTATTGTAAAGCTAGAGAGAGAAAAATATTTTACTGTTTTTTTCCGGATGCAACATAATTGTGTATGTTGGACCAACAACTTTCTCCAGACCTGAATTTGTGGCTGAAATAATTGTTGATTTGGAATACTTTGGGTCAACAGTGTCCTTCTTGGGCACCATTCTCCTCAGCAGTGCACATTCTGTGGTGCAAATGTGCACACATAGGTCGATACGTATCCTAAGGTTAGCAAAGGGGTGCATAGGACCCCAGAGATGTCTCTGGGAAGAATATTTGGGCTCTCCTTGAAGCTATGTTGTCTGGCTTTTGCAGCCCTATCACATATAACTTGAATTTTCCTTCTTTTTCTAGTGTAAAGTATACAATTGACGATTGATGACAAAGGAACGTGGCTTCACCTGGAGCCAGGGAGTACTGAGCAGGTAGAAGTTCTCATTAAACAAATGCATCAACCTCAGAAACTTCTCATCATCGTAGTCGAAACGCTTGTGGAAGAGGATGTCAGCTATGACGTTGCAGGGTGCACAGCCGATGAGGAAGGTGGGGTCGAAAGGCTGGCCTGGAAAACAGGCAGCCAGGCCGTCAGGGGATGGGTGCAAGGAGACCCAGGGGCTCCTCCACCCACTCAGTCACCTGCTGGGGCTCACCCAGGCCTGTGAGAAGGCACCCTGAACACTGGCAGTTTATAAAAGATAGCAAATATCTGAATCTGTTTGGGTCTTCTTCGCTTTGCGACAGTATTTAGGATACAAGTCACGTGCTTAATGGCTACACCTGCTCCCTGAACTGTGTGTCTGGAAACTAGAGTTGTAAACACAGTGTCTGGGGACTCATGAGACCCTCTCCTTGTCCGTAGGTCCCTGTGGTTCAGATGCGGTCCAGGGGTCCCGGCTGGGGCTCCCGGTGCCCCTGGCCTGCATGAGGACTGGGCCCTGCTGGGCAGCAGATACACACCCTGGGTCTTCCTGAGTGCTTCCACCAGGAAGTGGGCCTCCCTCTGGATCCGGTTCTCGTTGCCTTGTTTCCCCATCCCATAGTTCCGGAGGGTGGTCAGGGAAAACCGCCGGATGTCCTTCCAGGTGGGCCCATTATTGAAAATAATTCCTAAGGCAGAGGGGCCAGCAGAGGGTTATTCTGAAGGCCCATTTTGGGGAGAAATGGGCTAGAGAGGGCCTTGGAGAGCAGAGCAGGTTTGCAGGTGTGTAAAGAAGTGACAGAGGCGGCATGGGAGCTGCCGGCACTTGCTGGTCAGGTTTTGGCGGAAGCCTTTCTGGGGTCCTCACAGTCTGCACTGTGGTTTTTTAATCACATTTAACCTCTCCTGGGTGCTCTTCTTCATGCTGTCCACTTACCTTGTTTCTTTTTCCTTTCTGCTGAGTCTTCCCCATGTTAAATAAAACCACATATGGCCACTCCAAGAACACCTCCCACATCTTTCCTGTCTACCAACAAAATTTTTGAAAAGCCAGCCATTCTGTTCTCACAGGTTTTTAACCCTCATACCACACACGCCTCAACCTGCAGCTCTCCAGCTCCACAGCAAGTTTCTTCACTAAAATCTGGCAGGTCACACAGGCCCCTGACTGTGCAAAGCATCAGAGCTGGGAAACCCAAGAGCTGTCCCTTCTGAGCTGTCGAGGCCTGGCCCTGCCCTGTCTGGACCCTCCTGGGAGTAGGAGCACATTTGGAATCAACACATCTAAATGTTTTATTCTTTAAGAACGTTCACATATTCCCATCTTTCTCTCAGCTAGCTATAAACCTTTTTATTTTCTCCCAGATAGGAACCTTTAAATTATCCCTCTTCCTCTACACACTCCCAGCCACACCCCCCCTTGCCCCTCAGGGGCCCCTTGCCCTCTCTGCATTGCTCTCTGTGTTCCTCTTGTCCATCATCATTTCCTCAATAAACACATTTCGGGCACCTCCTGCATTTCAGACATCCTGCCAGCTCTGGGCATTCTGCAGTAAACAAGGGTCATATCCTACACAGCTTCATTAGCTGACTGACCACTGACCACTCTTGGGAGGCACCTGCAGGACACTCAGAAAGTGCCTTCGGAACCCATGCTCACCTGTTCCAGAAGCAAGGTTGGCCGGCCTGAGGGGGGGCAGATGAGATGAGGTGGGCGGGGCAGGGGTGCAGGCTGGACTGAGGGTTTCATTTCATCCTGAATAGTAGGAGGAAGGCCTGCCAAGACTGAGGAGATGGGGGTGGGTGGGGGGTGCCGGTGGTGGTGGTGGTGGAGGGGCAGAAGTGGTCATGTTGAGTGGAGGGTAGCCGAGATGACCCATTTAGACAGCTGTTCGACAAGTTAAAAATCTAGGTTGGGAACCGTGCTTTCTCCGTTTTATGGACTTTTTCTGAAAGGATGTGTGCAGTTCCTCCCGCACACTATCACACAGCCTGTGCTCAGTGTTATGCCAATAAGGAATATTTTCATCATCGTCCCTCAAGGGCCAGGTGCAGCCCATGCCCAGGGCTCTGCTAATTTTCCGTCAGTCTGGGCCCTGTGGGTCATATAAAAATGAAACTTTAGAGCCCCCAGGCAGAGGCAGCAATGTCCCCTTGAGCCCGAGCTGTGGAGATGCACGTTCCGCGCCCCGCCCTGCTGCCTTGGACTCTGCCTTGGATCTGTGGGTGGCAGATAAGGGCTCCGGGAACAGAACTGAGCTCAACCGCAGTACCGGGCCCTCCCCCAGTAATGCTTTTCCTGTGTTAGCGACAAGGACTGAGATGGTTAATTTTGTTTTTGGCAACTCCAGAGAAGTAAAACCCCACAATATAAAAGAAGGAAAAGCAAATGACACTAATTGTGACACAATATAACCTAGAAACGTAGACTGGACAAATAGGGCGCGAACACCAGCTCTCGGATTTAAAAATTCCACACAGCATGGCAAAGGCTTTCTGGGGCCTCGTCGTCAAAGTTGACTCGAAGAACTAGAGGCTTCCATGTGGGACACTGTTGGTTTCTAATCTACTTTGAAAGCCCCTGCAGGGCAGGGAGGGAGGGAGGGAGGAGAAAGAAGCAGCAGGCCGGGTCCGGAAGCAGGAAAGAGGGGGCAGGCCAGCGGACCCCGCCAGGCTGGGGTCTGAAGCCAGGAGGCTGGGAGAATGCTCAGATCAAGACCAGCCAGACCTCCAGCCCCCAGCCCTGCTCTCCCTAGAGAGGGAACATGCCGCTTTCTGTATATGCTGAACTCGGAGCTCTGGAGACAGGGAGGGTGGAGGAAAAGACAGCAGAGGTGAGGCTGGGAGACGGGGTTTCAGTGGGTCTCTTCCCCCTTCGCGGTCTTCAGAACATCCACCCCAGCGGGACAGCAGAGGCCCCCTCTCTGGAGGTCACCAGTTGCAGCTGAGCAAAGCCCTGAAGCGAGCAGTGTCCGCAGCTTCTGACGCCTCAGCGTGGGTGAGGGGACCTTGGTGGCAGAAGCCACCTGTGCCCAGGCCGTGGAAGAGGAGGGACGCGCTCCCCGAAGGAGCCTTTGGGCCAGGAGGCGGGACGGTGGGGGTGGGGAAGGCGCCTCAGGCTCAGAAGCAGCCCCGCCGCCGCGGATCCCTGTAAACTCGGCCTAGAGGCCGGACTCGGTGGAGACTCAGGGCACCTCGCGCAGCAGGCAGCGCGCGGGGCCGTCGCCCGAATCATCCTTCGGATGCCATTACTGTCATATTACGGTGACTTTAGCATTTGGCCGGCGCCGACGTGGCTGGCGCCTGTTAACTGTCCCGGGGCGTGTTGTGCGCCCCCCGCCCCGTGCCAGGGACGCGGACTCACCCCTGTCCTTGTGCGCCTGGAACGCGGGGATTTCTCCTCGGCCCGAGAACTCGCTCTTGTAGTCCAGCAGCGCTTCCCTCACGGCCTTGTAGCCGTGCATCACCACCACGCGCCGCTGGCCCAGGTACAGCGTGAACACCGGCCCGAAGCGCTCGGCCAGCTGCGGAGACAGAGGCTGCAGGTGAGGCCCGCGGCGCGGCTGGAAGTCACGCCCCTGCCGCGCGGCCATTGCCATTGCTCCAGAGAACCAGGGGGCGCGTGGGGAAAGGCAGCCTTTGTCCAGCCCAATGTGGGGGTTACCTTCCCCACAAAGGGCTGCTGCGTCTGCGGGGTGCGCGGGACTGGCACACCTGCGCACCGGGCCGCCCACGCAGCCCTAGCCGCTCCGCTCCGCACCAGCCTGGACTCGGTCAACTCCACAGTCTCTGGGTCCTCAAGTCCCTTCCCTAAGGCTCGCCCACCCACCACCCCGTCGCTTGCTTCCAGAGTCAAGTTTCGGGACCCGGCGCCAGCCCGCGCCCCTCAGAGCGCACACTCCAACGCGCGAACACCCAGCGCCTGCTCTGCGCTGGCGGCGTTATCGGCTCATTTAATTTTTAGGTTTGTAAGCCCATTCAGTGTTCACGACTGTCGTAGGCGGCAGATATTGGTGCCCCACGCACCGGCCCAACACTTCACGTTTCAACTCGTGCTTCGGCAAACGCAAGCTGACGCCCAGCCAGTGCGCGGTTATCCTGGTGTCGCAGCTGCCCGGCCTCGCCGGCCTCCGCATCATCAGCCCCGAGACAAGGCACAGGCACGGGGGTGGTGGGGGGCTCCAGAGCCTGCCATGCGGGCTCAGGGCTCCGGCTGAGCAACACGTTTTGAGTGTCACTCCAGGATGCTATCAATTCAGTTAATCCTTAGCAGGCTGGTATTGAACAACCACAGTTTGTCTGCAAATGAGTTGAATGCACACATATCAGATCCAATTTCTGAGTTATTCTCCCTAAAATCAACAATATTTCTCTTACCTGGGTGAAGGACTTGGGGATATTCTTCAATTCCAAGTGGAAGTGATTCCCGACGATGGGAAGTGGGAAAGGGCCTGGGGGCAGATTCCAGCTGCTGTGCACCTGCCTCCAGATGGACACCAGCAGGAGAATGGCCGCCCACACCAGCAGGGCCACAGTGATGCCAAGGGCAGACATGGTGCTGCTGGAAGCCGGCTGCCAGCCTGGGAGGACAATCCCGCAGAAACGCAGGGCTTTTTATACTGTGTTTTGAGAAGGAGGGTGACCCCACCAACCAATGCCATCTTCCTTCTCGTCTACCCCAAATTATTAGTTTATTATTACCCGCTGTTGGTCATCATTTCAAAGGCTGATTCCCTCAGTAGTGGCCCCCAGAGGTTCCATCCTGTGACCTGGTGAGGTTGGAGCTGGGCCATGTCAGCACCCGGGTTACTGACACCTGGTGCTGTGCTGGCAAACACATCCAGGAACAGGTGGCCAGCCTGTGTCCCTGGGCTGGGGGTGAATGTGGGGTGAGGAACTGTCCTGACCTTTGGCACTGGTTGGACAAAGGGGAACTCCAGCCACATTGCCATGAATTTGTTTGGAGTAGGGCCTATGTAATGCAACACCAACCACATGCTGACCACCTCTAGGCAGGGTACCAGCCCTCCTGGTGCAGCAGCCTCTTGATGTCTGATGAGGAGGTTTGTCTGGAAGTCAAACACTCAGACACCCCTCTGCTGTCCCGCTGGGGTGGATGTTCTGAGACCAGGAAGGGGGAAGAGACCCACTGAAACCCCGTCTCCCAGCCTCACCTCTGCTGTCTTTCCTCCACCCTCCCTGTCTCCAGAGCTCCGAGTTCAGCATATACAGAAAGCGGCATGTTCCCTCTCTAGGGAGAGCAGGGTTGGGGGCTGGAGGTCTGGCTGGTCTTGATCTGAGCATTCTCCCAGCCTCCTGGCTTCGACCCCAGCACGGCGAGGTCTGCTGGCCTGCCCCCTCTTTCCTGCTTCCAGACCCAGAAGCAGCCCCCAGTAGTACCTGAATCACCACCTGCCACATGAATGGGGCCAGAAGGAAAATTCAACATCTGAATTCTATTTCACTTTGTCAAATTAACTGGAAAATTCCATGAAAGAAAAAAAGAAAGGAAGAGAAAGTTAATCTCTGATTATTTTTTTAAAAAAAAAGTTACATATTCTTGCTGTAGAAAATTAAGAAAAAATATTATTTGGAAAGATTTTAAATTCAAATTCTTTAAAAAATTACATTAGGGTTTTATTGGATTTGTTTTACATTAGGTTAAATCTGGAAGACAATTTTAAACATATCTTTGCTGATCCAGGGGCACAGTGGAGCCCCACATTTACTAGCTTCTTCTTTCATGTTTTAATTACTTTCTTCACGCAGGCCCTCTCCCACCTTCTGCTAAGGTAGTCTATAGGTATTTTCTGGAGCTTTTCTGTGTGCATGGTTAGAATGAAGAGAATGTTTTCATTCTGTCTTCTAACTGGCAATATATGGAAGTTCTTAATTCACAGGTTGCAATTTTATCCTTTTATATTAGCAATGAATCTTTACGTATAATAGAAAATACGATAAGAAATGAAGAAAATAAAAGTCATTTACAGTCCAACCAAATTACTTGTGGATTTTGAGTTATGCCATTCTCCACTTTCATTTATATAAAAATGAGACTACATACTATCTGTGGCATTCTAACCCAGTTTTTCTCTTGACAGTTTATTAGCCACATAAGCAAGTCACTGGCTGTGCTGCGCTTAACACTGCACCTCTCCTAAACCAAGAAGGGGCATTGGCCTCTGGCAGAAGCTTCAGGGGCCTTTGCCTCCCTCCACTTTTTTCACCCCTCAAGGTAAGAACTGACAATGTAGACTCGACCGCCTGGGTGGGTGGGTTAGCATGCCCCCTCCTCCTGTCTTTCCTTTCCAGTGGCCAGTGTGAGGTGGCAGGGACAATTCCTGGGGCAGAAGCTGAGTGTCCAAACCCCTGCACGCTGTCCTCCTGTTGTGGACCCAGCCAGGCCTGGCGGGGACAGACACCCATTGGGGTCCACAAATTTCCCTGGTTATTGGTTCCTTTTCCTAGTGCTCAAGAAGGCCAGAGTCTGCTCCTGGCAGACTAGAATTGAAGCCTTGGCTTTGGTGGGATGAGAACAGGAAGCATCAGAGTGGGGAAGCAGAGCGGGCCCCTGGCTCCCCTGGGCTGAGGAGAGCATTGTCTGTGCAGCTTACCTGAGTGTGCACATCCTGGGCAGGGTGGGGCCCACATGCCCTGGACCGTCTGTGCCTCACAGGGATGCAGCTATGGTCTGAGTCCTCTGGCCATAATATTGTTAGATGCCCAACCAACATCAGATTTTAAATACAGGAACATATGTCGTTTGAAAATAATGACATTTCTGTGTACTTCTTTTCAGAAGCCAGGGCTTTTATTTGTTTGGCATCTATCCCATTGGCAGGACCTTCCAGGACAAGGTTAGACAATCAAGAAGACAGAGAGCCTGTGGCAGGGAGCTCTTCAGGCTTTCATCACATCTGCTGTTGGCTGGGTGTGGCAAAGAGGTAAATGTATTGGGACAATTTTCTTCTTTCTCTAGATAACTAACAGTGTTTATCAGGGATGAGAGTTGGGTTAATGAAATGTCTTTTTAATTGAAACAATTCTATGATTTTTCTCCTTAGACCTGCTAGTGTGAGGCTAGATAAAAACACTGTCTCACAATGTACCATAAAAGCACCATATACTTTTACATTTTATCATAAAAGTACTTCATAGTTCCATATCACAACCAACTCTTTCATGGAGTGAAACTCTTTTAACGCCCTAAGGATTCAACTTGTTAATAGTATTTTTGGTAATTTCGCATCTATACCTGCAAATAAAATTGGGCTATAGCTTTTGTGTTATATTAGGTTCTTGCATAAAAATTGCACTATTCTAGAAACCATTGCAAAACTCCCGTCTTCTGTGTGCCTGGGAATACTTTATATTGTAGGGGAATTGTCTGCGCTTTGAAATTTTGATAGAACTCACTAGTAAAGCAATATAGAGAAGATTTATTGGAATTGAATAATTGTTTATAAAGATTAGAAAGATAATTTTGATTGGGAAAGTAAAATATCTCCTTTTAACAAATGCAAACAACACAGAAGTGGATGAAGTGAAAACTGAGGGTCCCAAATTTACCCTACAAAGGCAGCTTCCATATTTTAAACCCCATTAAGAAGGAAAAATCCTCTGCTAATTCTCTTTTTATTATTTGTAGTTTTTATTTTATACCTACTAAAATACTTCTTTTGCACTTACTTTAATTCTGTATATAATGTGGATTTGACTTACTAGTATTCTTTTATTTTGGCCCAAGAGACTTCCTTTAGTGTTTCTTATGACAGGCTTACGAATTCTTTCAGTTTTATCTGAGAATGTCTTATTTTCTCTTTCTTTTTGACATTTGATCTTAGCCAAAAGGCTAAGATATATTTTAAATTTTAATTAATTAATGAATGTGGGAGGGTACCAGAAAATGTGCTAGACAAATTCTAAAAGAGCTGTAATACTTCATTCTTTTTGGAAGTGTATTTTCTGGATACAGAATTCTTGGTTGGCAGTGTTTTCCTTCAGTGCCCTGACTCTGTCATCTCGCTGACTGCTGGCCCCATGGCTTCTGGTGAACAGGAGCTGTTATTTTCTTGAGGGCTGACTTACCTAATACCTCATCTCACTATTGCTGTTTCCAGGACCCCCTCTTTCCCTTTGATTGACTATGGTGTGTGCAGATGTGGCTCTCCTTTCATTTATTCTTTTTTGAGTTGGTTAAGGTTTTGGATATGTAGATGAATCTTTTTCATCAAATTTGGGGAATTTTGAGCCATTATTTCTTCAAATAGTATTTTTGTCCCCCTATTTTCTCTCTTTCTGAGATTCCCACTGTGCCTGTGTAGATACTCTTGATTATGTCCCACAGGTCTCTAAGGCTCCATTCACATTTTTTCCATAATTTTGTTGGTATTCACATTACCATTCTGGTGAAACAGATTTTCAGAGCTTCTTATGCTGCCATTCTGGAAGTGCTTCTTTTGTCTACCCTATTCGTCAAGAAAATAAGAGCTTTCCAAGAAACTTTAAGAAAATCCGAGATTTTTTAAATTTTTGGCTAGAATGTCACCACTCCTATGTGCAAGAGAGGCTGGAAAGTGGAAAGACTTTACGTGAATGTGTTAAAAGATTAAGGGAATTAGGAGTGGGATTTGATTACTAATAATATCATGTACTATAGCCTGGTTAAAAGTATTCTGTGTATTCTTCCAAACTTTAAAACAATTTATATAAACATACAGTGCATACTACATTTTATGAATAGTTCACAATTTGTCTATTTTGAGTTGACAAAAAATTCAAATAGTTTCCCCAATTATTTATGTTACAAAAGGTGCCACAATGGTACCCTATGGATGCATTTTTGTTCAGACATGCATGTATCTCTGTAAGTCAGTTTTGTGGGACTGGGATGGTTGGATCACTGGATATGTGGACCTAAGATGTTAACAGATATATAAAATTGCTTCCTCAGAAGGTCGAAACACTTTAAACCACCCCCCCCCCACAGTAGTATGGGAATGCCAATTGCTACATATCTTTTCCAACATTGGATACTGTCAACCACTGATAACTGAAAATTCATATGTCATTACTTTACTTTGCATTTCTCTGGTTAAAAAAGAAGGAAAGCATCTTTTCATCTATTGATTATTTACTTGTTTTTTTTAATGAAACAATTCCTTCTCTTTTCATATTGGCATTTTACATATTTCCTCTCAGATTTTAAGGACTCTGTCTATCAAATAAATAGTAGTTGTTTTTATGTTTCATGGTTTGAAAGTTACTCCCAGTCTCTTGTTTGATTTCCCATGTAGAAAATTAGATTTTTATACAGTTAAAATTTTCAGATTTTTCCTGTATAGCCTTTGGAATTTAGAGAATGTTTTCTAAAAGACTTTGCCCATCAATTATTTTTAATTTAAAAGTTGCCTTTAGAAAAAAATATATATGATCTTGTCATCTCTAGGTAAGATGCTTTGATTCCTCCCACTATAACCATGTTTTATTAAATTATTCTTTATTTTAAAAATCTACTCAGTTATTTTCAATATACATTAAATTGACAATCTTCTAATTGTACCTTTTACTGTTATATAAACATCTTTTTGTCCCCTCTGATAATTGTGGCTACATGTGTTTGCTTTTTGTAGTATTTCCCTGGTCTATCTTTGTTCATCATAGTATTTAAAGCATCTTAATGTCATTTTGTTCTTGATAGGTGTCCTGTAAACATTCTATAGGTTTGACACAAACAGAGTTTTTCCTTTTAATAGGAGAATTAAACAGTCATAGTTATCATGATCACTAAATTTGGCAGTCATGATGTATGTGTGTGCATGTGTGTGTCCAAGTGTGTGCAGGTGTGCATGTGTGGGTATGTGTGTATGGGCGTGTGCATGCATATGTGTGTGTTTGTGTGTGTGTGTGTGTTTCCTTTATGTTTAAAATGATCATTTTTTTTCTTTTTTTCGTTTGATGATTTGGAATCTTGATGTCCTGTTGTTATTCTACCAGTGGTTACCCCTGAATCTGAAAGTACATATAGACTTATAGTTTTTTTAATACACTTGAAGAATTTGTCAGTGTCTTCTGATCTGAACAAGAAGAGACCTTTAGCACACTTTCCTTCTCTACTTCTCTTGAATATACAATCTACCTCAAATCTCGGGGATTTTAGTTTTAGAATATTGGTTTTAAATTTGTTCAAATATACTTTCTGTTTTATAAATTAATTTTTATCTCGGGCATTCATATTGACAGCCACCCATGGAGGGATCATTTGCCTTCAAGCCTATGTTGTACCAGTCCCTTTGCCTGTTACTCCTGTACGATTATCTTGTCTTCCTTGGATTCCTGCCCCCAGACACACAAGAGCTTCCACCTCAGGACCCAGTTGGACGAGGAGAGGGTGAGCCACACGAGGGGGCAGACCTGGAACGCGACCTCCCTGGGCCACTTCAGTGGCAGATCACGTGGCAAAACGTTTTCGGACTGACCGCGAGCTGGCCTCCCCTCCGTCCGCGCTGGCCAGCAGGAAGCAGGGCGCATCTCAGCAGCGCCGCAGGACCGTCCGAGCGTGGATCCCGGGACCGCGGGGCAGACAGGCGCGAGGCCGGGATCCAAAGGCCGGCGCCGCGCTTCGCGGGACAATGACCTCGTCAAAAGCCGAACACGTTTCCAAGTCACGCAGGGCAGCGAACACAGGCTCGCCGGGTCCAAAGGGCGGGCCGGGCCGCTGCAGGATCGAAGCCTCCGCCCGAGCCCGGCGCCGCCGGACGCTGACGGGCAGTGGCGGCTCCGGAGCCAACGACGCCGCGTCCCGCCGCGAAGCGCAGCCCGGCCGGGGAGGCGCCTCCGGGGTCCGCGGGCTGCGGCTCCCTGAGGTCCGGGGACCCCCGCACGCCCGGGCCCGCCCACCAGGGGGCGCCAGAGAGCGGCCGCGGGAAAACGCGGGGCCTGCGGGTGATCCAGGGGTGACGTGGACACCGCCCGCTCCCAGCCCCAAACGGCAGCTCATTCCAGGTGCGTTTACAGACGCGCCCGCATCCCACCGCCTCCCTCTGGGGGTGGCCGCTGACCTGCATTTTGCTTTGAATGTTCCCTGTGATTTTCTTTTCTTTTTTTGAGACGGAGTTTCTCTCTCGTTGCCGAGGCTGCGGTGCAATGGAGCGATCTCGGCTCACTGCAACCTCGGTCTCCCAGGTTCGAGCGATTCTCCTGCCTCAGCCTCCCGAGTAGCTGGGATTTCAGGCACCGCCACCACGCCCGGCTACTTTTGTGTATTTTTAGTACAGACGAGGTTTTTCCATGCTGGTCAGGCTGGTCTCGAACTCCCGACCTCAGGTGATCCGTCCACCTCGGCCTCCCAAAGTGCTGGGATTACAGGCGTCAGCCACAGCGCCCGGCAGATTTTGTTTTTTATATCATTTGATTTTCTTATTTTTGTATTTTTAAAGGAGATTTCATAAAATTTATATTCCCTGAGGCTTGAGATTTCT